AGGCGAGGGGAGGGGAGGAGGAGCCACGCACGGCGGGGATGCTCTGGGGGCGGGGTGGGAGGACAGGCGGGGGGAGGTCCTGGGCCTGCTCCAGGCAGAGCTGGGGGAGAGACCCAGCTCCACATATTGGTGGAGCAGGCCCCTGGCTCTGTAACTCGCTGGCACTTCCGGGTTCAGGGCCCGAATTGGCCTAAGCCTAAGTCATGCTGAAGCCTGGTATTTTCTTCCTGTGGCCTGGTAGCGGGCCGTGGCCCATAGTTTGGGAAACGCTGCCCTGGCATATAAACTAAACTAGATAGGACTCCCTTGCACCCAGACTCTGTGGGCCATACTTACAAGTGACAGTCAGTGTAAATCCAGTTAAAGTAGAATTAGTCTACACAGCATTGGAACCCTATCTGAAGGTGTGAATTGGCAACCAACAGTTACTTTGGTGCCATTTACCACAAAGAGAAGCCCTAAATCTAAGGGAGTCAGAAGTGCAGTAACATGCACTTTGAAGATGTAAATCCCAACGTTCAAGGTGCACGTTCCCTTTCTTAGATAGACTCACCTCTGAATTATGATCAGTGTCTTGTTTCAATAATATACCTTCTGCTTTTATGCACTATTTTTTTACAAGCTTGCCATTTAAGTTGGTAAGAATTTGTCTTGTAAGGGATTGTTCAAAGCTGACAAATTTGGGGAAAGAAAAAGAAAGATTCACACACTTTAGCCAGGTGATTTGGTAATCTGTCCTCCAACTAAGTGACTAAGATGAATCAAAAATAGAGAAATGAAAATCTAGAACAAGTGGTTTCAGCTGCTGCACTGTTCTCCAAGTTGCTTAGTTTGCTAGCCTTTGCTTTTGTCACCTCCATTCCCTGGCTGCTGGTAGGATTCCAGTTGTTGTTTCCCAGCCCCCTGCTGCCTAGGTCCATGGAACATGTGATGCAAGGAGCATGTAGTGTAATCAAATCAACTGCCTCTCGTGGGAAAAGCTGGAGAAAAAGAGGTTGCTATCGGCAAGTGTCAGCATGGCAGAGTAGAGAAAACAAACATATCAGGGTATGTTGCAGCAAAATGGTGAATTCCACAACATCTTGGGAAAATGCCAAATTACACAGCCACAGATTAGCAAAGCCCACTGAAGTCTGGTTGAGATGAATGGTGTAGGTCACATCTTTCAGAACTACTGTTTCATGATTTCTGCAGAAGCAAAGCAGGCAGATGGCATTCAATCACTTTGCTCTGCAACCAGAGGGTTTAAATAATAATAGCACAATTCCATGGGACTCTAGTTTTGTTACTAATGAGTTTTCAGCTTCTGTGTCAGCACAAACTCAGATACCCATGTTACACCATCACAAAATGTCATAGTACTCAAATACCACTTCCTATCTGGGCATTTGATGACGAACAGATTAAGTAATTAAATATAAACGTCCCCACTTTACAAATTAAGTTCTGGAAGAAAATGTTTCAATTTTTAAACGACTTTCTAGTTTGCATTGTTTTTATAATATACAATTTAAAAGTCAAAATTAAAACAAAACATCTAATATGACAAAGGTTTTTGTTTTTCCAGTATTTTACTTCACAAAGCATTTTAAACTTTTTGGCGTCTGGACCACTTAAGAACAAAATCAAATTGTGAAATCTCAAAATCTTTTTGCAAAACAGAACTTTTTGTTTTGCAGCTCTAGTAGCATGTAGGTTACTCTGGCAAAGTCTACGTAGCAAACAAAAACCCATGTCTGGCCTGTGCCACTGACTTGCACTTGTGGGGGCCAGCCTGCCAGGTTGTTTCATTGCTTTGCAGACTTATGAATTCAGGCCACAACAAAATCCTAAAAGTGAAGGAGCTACACTTTTGAAGATATGAACAAGTAAAAGTGCTTCAGTCCAACAAACAAGAGCAAGAAATAAGCATAAGTGAAAAGAGGTTATCGTGGAAGAAGTTATCATGGAGCATAAATGTACTTTTGATGTTTTAAGCTTATATTTAAAACTCAGGCTTGTGCCACTAACACATTTAATGACATTTTTAAAGGGTCTTAATTAGTTAGAAAATAAATTCAGACCCTGTCAAGCCCTCGCTTTGCTAAAAATAACCAAGGACTCAGAAAAAGAACAGTACTATGGGTTCTGTCTTGTGCTCTGCCAATTAGTCTAACAATAATTAATTACCAAACCACCTTCAGTTAAGAGCTTGATTTGGAATTTAAGCATTAATTAGCATGGAGCTGCTAATGCAAACACATTAAGGGCAAGAGCCTCATTGCTGTGCTAGCTTTTTTGCACTGATCTAAAATCCCCAAAACTAACCTCTCAGAAGGATTTATCTGCACAGGCACTATGGCAAATTGCCATAAAGCTTCCCATCCAACCACTTACGATTGCAAGCCCTGAAGCAGGGGGCATGCCAGGTGATAGGTTTCAGCATCAGTGCTGTAGAGATTCTGTATACTGTGGCAGCCCAGAAGGAACCCCACAGGGCTGCTAAAATTTAGCTACATCTGTAGGACTGTCTGTGTTAAGGCACAAGCCCTGGAGCAGTCCATGGGTCAGTGGAGCGCAAAGTGGCTTAATGCCAACGAGGCTCTTCCTCCACAGCCCAGGCTGCAAGTCCTTTACTGTGTTTCTAAGGGCGTAACAGAGAATCTCTCACTATGAACGTCATAATTCAGAAATCACTTGTAGAGTATCTCATCTTTCTAAAATGGAGTAGACATGATTTTGTATTTATTTAGGCTGACTGAAAAGGCATCCCATCATTTTACAAGGTAAAGCTGACCCTTGCAATTTCACACTAACAGCTGATTTCCACGTGTGATGTGGAGTGAATGATACTGTCGTCCTGCAAATCCATGCCTTCTTCTATATTTTATGTTAATTTAACATTTAGACCCCAATGGATACGATGGGCCTGACTCTTCTGACTTCTACCACAGTAAATCAGTAACTTTGCTGAAGTAAATCGGATTGCAGCAGTGTAAAGCAACTAAGGACCATGACTTGGATTTTCAAAGGAGCATAACTGGTTTTGGGGCCAAACTTCAATTGAAAAGCCAATGGGAGCTAGAGGGACTTAAGGAATTGGGCACCTGAGGCTGTGTGGGCAACCTCAACTTTGGTAAACTGATTCTGAAGTGCTTCCCTTTGCATCCTTAATATTCTTTCAGTACAGGCAGTCCCTGGGTTACGCGGATCCGACTTATGTCGGATCTGTACTTATGAACGGGGCTTTTCTCGCCCCGGAGGACGCGGGCGGCGGGACCGCCCAGACGCGCCTC